CTCTCCTAGTTGCCTTATCCATGCTACCCTTGGTTTCTTTTGAATGGGAATTCTAGGGTGTGCAATCACAACCTTGCTGCCGTCCTGACCAGCCTACATGATCCTTGGGCCAAGCTCATGGGCTGTGTCATTCCGGGCTCTTGGGGACTCAGTCCACCCCCTCTGTCCCAGGCCCAGTGGACCAAGAGGGTTCTAGCCTTTGTGCAGGAAAGAATTCAAGCACCAACCTTCAGTAGAAAATGAAAGCAAGTTTATCGTAGGCAGAGTAGCAGCCAAGGGTGACACTGTCTAAGGCTCTGTCTCTCAATTCTGTGCTAATGAAGGGGTGGATTCTCCCAGGATTTTCTGGGGAAATTCCTGGGAAGTTCCCAGAGTTGAGCTTCCTCTCGTTTTGAACCATGCAAGGTGACTTCTGGGCCGTTGTGGCACTTGGGAAGAGCTGCAGCACTAGCGGGAACATTCCGCTGTGTGCTGGGACCCTGTGATGGGTGTACGATGAGCAGAGAGGTTGGCTTTTACGGCATCCTGGCCTCAGCGAGGCTTAGGGGCTTGGGCTGTCTTCTCATCACATCGCAGTGTTTCAGGAGCTCAGATCAGGTCTCCTAACTTCTGTCTTGGAGAACTTAGTCCTGCAGGATCCCTGTCTCGCGTCCTCGTTACCTGGATGGAGAATGGAACTGGCGTAGCCCTCTTCCTGGGGTACATTCTCTGTGGGAGCCTTCGCTGTTGGGGTTTGGACCACTCTGGAGACTCGCCCCTGGGCACGAGCTCAGAATCATCTGTTCTGTGACGCTCTGCCTCCCCCGCCCCCTCGTCATAGGCCTCAGAACAAACCCTGTGCGGTCACCTATCTAATTTGAAGGAGGCGCATAAGGTCAAGACCCGGCGTCAGGAGCCTCCCAGCCTCTCCCCTGGGGTTCCCTCCCTGCCCTCCCCAGTGACCCAGACTGGGATTCTGTGCTGCAGGAGGATCGGGAGGAACCACGCCTGGCTGCGTGACAACTTCAGACTTGGGACCAGTAACAGCCTGTCACCCGCTGTCCCCCAGCTCTCTTACCAATTCTGTATTCCAAGGCAGAATTCAGCGAGTCGAAAGGAGACTTAAGTTTTGAGGTCTCTGGCTTGAGGTTCAGGCACTCTCTGTCCTGCCCAAGCTTGTGCTTCTTTAGCTGGAATCCTCGGCTTGTTTATAGTTGATCTGCTGATGACTTAACGTTTTCAAACATTTTATTTTGGAAGCATGATAGATGCACAGAAGGTTGCAGAAATAGTTACAAAAAGGTCTCGTGTACCCGTCACCAGTTTCCCCCGTGGTGACAGATGACAGACATAGTGCAGCCTCAAACCCAGGGAGCCGCGTTGCTGAGTGTATGCAGCAAGTGTAGATTCAAGGCACAGCCACCAAGAGACGGTGCTGAGCCAGGGACCTCCCAGAGATCGCCTCGTTGCTGACCTGCCCTCCTTCCGCCATCCTCGACTCCTGACAATCAGGGGCCTGTTCTCCACCTTTGTGATTTGTCATTTGGAGGGCGGCTTGTCAGTAGAATTATACAATGTGTAACCTTTTGAGTGGCTCTCTTCACTCAGCGTAATATCCCTGGGACCCACCCAAGCTGTTGCGTGTACTAAGAGTTTATACTTCTTCATTGCGAGTAATACTCCATGGTTTGGGATAGCAGGGTGAAACTTGTTTGTTTTTCTGTATTTGTTAAGGATTTAGTGTTCAGCTGCAGAAAAAGTAGCCAAGAGGTGTCCCCAGGGGGACCTGCCTTTCTTCTCAGCAGATGTCCTGAGGAAGGCGGGTCAGGGCTGGCAGGGCCCCGACATGACCTCAGGGCCCCTCCTCACTGTGGGGTTTGGGTTCCACGATGCCTTCTTGAGGTTATAAAAGGGCTGTTCACCTCCTGTACCACAGCCACATCCCTGGCAGGGGGAGGGGGAGGGCTGAGTCCACCCCTAAAGGAATGCCCCCAGGAGTCCTGGTTCCCCCTGCATTTCATTGGCCAGAATTCTGTCACTTGACCATGCTGGCACGGGAGTCTGGGAAACGTGGTCTTGTAGCTGGCGACTTTGCAACTCTGAGCACCACGGCTGTTGTTGGTGAGGCTAAAGGGCGAACGCACATTGCTCAGATGTCACGGGAGCTGCCTGAGCCCCCAGGAGGTGGGCCCACCTTGCAGGGCACCCAGGTCTCCTCCAGACCTTCCTTCTGATCAGGGGCCCCGTGAGTGGAGGAGGGGCCACCCCAGACAGAGGCCCAGGCCAGCTTCCTCATCTCTGCATCGGATCACTGAGAACGTGTCCTTCTGGAGGGAGGTTTCTGGGGCCCCCACCAGGGCCTCCAGTATCACAGCCACATCTCTGAAGCCACCAACTGTCACCACAGGGGCCCAGGGCTCGTTCCGGAATCCTGTGGAGCCTTGGAGCCTGGACAGGCGGGAGCTGGGCCTGAGCAGGGTCAGGGACTAGACACACCAATGTGCTCCATTCTAGACACCGGATTTGCTGGGTTTGATGACCGCATGCACCAGAGGACCAGACCCAGGGGCCACTTGTGTCTCATTGGGGGGCTCCCTCCATCAACTCTGGTCACATGGATTTCTTCCCTGTCCCAGGATTTGTTTGACTTGACATTAGGGCAGAACTCCAGACATTCTAGTAGGAGCAAAAGAATGTTCATCTTACCCACCACACAGAGGGGTGAGGAGGGAAGCTTTGGTGTTGGGACAGGTGAGACCACTCAGCCCTATGTGTGACAACTTTGTCAAGGCGAGGACGGCAGTGGGCTGAGGCCACCGGGCTCTGTACTGATCTTGACCAGAATCCACACACGGGCCTCTGAACCCTGACTATCCTCCCCCTGGAAGTCACCGCATACCTGTTGCTTCTGAAAGTTTAAAGGCTTTTCTTCCTGGACAGAGGCCAGTTATAAGCAAAGAAATACAAGACTGATTAATGGATCGGGTCTTGTGGACTTAAACTCTTTGACCGATTTCATGACAAGAAGAACAAAGAGAAGAAAAGCAAAACTCTAAACGCTAGATGAGATTTGAAATAGCCTCGGCCCAGGAGCCAAATGGAAAGGCTGTAACACTTTTGTAAGTGCGCTGACATATTGATTTTCTTGCCGGACGTGAGCTCTGAGGATGGCGGAGGGGCCCTTCAGCAGGTGGATGTGTTCATTCCAGGCACACACCATATGGATTTTCTGTTCTGTTGCTTTTTTTGCCCCTGAAAAATGTCACGAGATGGAATTGGGAGGCTTTGGGGCATGGCCTTCCAGTTCAGTCGTGAACTCCAGACACACAAGGAGGTCTCTTGCCCGCCCCGTCCCAGGAGCCGATGTTTCCATCCTGGGTGCTCTTGGCTCCAGACCCGAGTACATGCTGTCTGCCTCCCACCCTTGGGGCCACACGTGCTTGGCTTGTCGCAGGGCGGTATGTGAAGAGGGATTTTGGTCTGGTCGGTGTCAGGACTTCTCGAGTCTGCTTCAGCCTCTGCCTTGGCCCGGGGCACCTGCCGCTCTGTGGCCCAAGACAGAGCTGGAGCCTGTTGGGAGATGGGATGGAGACAGGGCCACAGTCCCTCGCACCTCAAGCAGCCTGGCCTTCGTGCTCTGTGTGAGGTTGGCTGCTGGCCCACGGGGTTGCCACACAAGCACACCTGCTCCTGGGAACATACGTACGAGGCTGGGTACCAGGGGCTTGGATGGGCAGCCTGGGGTGAGGACGCCTCCGCACCACCCTGCGCCTGTCTTGGGTGTTGGTCTCTTCTGTGATGTGGGTTTTGGTGCCTCAGTTTCCCTGCGAATGGCCTCAGGTGGCCTCGGGACGTGGGGCCCTCTGTGTGGAACATAGATTCATGGCAGGTTATGGCTTTGGGAAGACAGAGGAGAAACGTCTTTTCCAGGTCGTTTGAGAGATCCCATAATGTATAAAAACAACCCTAAGACATAGGTAGAAAAGCAAAAGGTGGGGAGAGTCTGTTTTGCCAGATGTTGGTTAGAGCAGCACTGAGAGGATAGGGCTGAGCTTGGAAGGCCGGTGGACTCCGAAGGTGGGCGTGCTGTGAGCCTGCCCGCCGTGGGTCCCCAGGTGTCTGATGGGGCCTGCGCGGCTGCTTCATGGGCAAGAAAGGGACTCGAGGGGGTGCCAGAACAGTGCCGTCGAGGGCATGTCTTGCTACTCTGTGCCACACAAGCCAGTGGCTTGACTGAGGGCTTGCGGTCCTGGGTGAGGGAAAGGGTCTCACGGGGGTGACAACGGGCATAAATGGCAGCACCCAGGGGACATGGCCATCCGAGAAGAGGGGCTTAGACACCATGCACCCACCGCCTCCAGCAGCCCTGAACTCCGATGGTGTCCCGGCCTCCACACCTCCTGGCTCCGAGGCTAGAGGAGGCCAGCCTCTCATTCAGGTGTCAGAGCCCCGGGGTGTCCAGGAGGGGGCACAGGTCCCAGCAGCAAGGGCGGATCGCTGGTCCATGTCCCACTCTTTCTTTGGTTCATTTGTTGAACACACATTTAGTAAGTACCTGCTGTATGCCAGATACTCCTTGGCCCTGGGATGCAGCAAGTGAGACAGACAGAGGTCCTGTCCTTGTTGTCGTGTACAAATGAACAAGTAAATACACCCTGTGCCACATGTGAGCAGTGCCGTGAAGACACAGGAGAGGGAAGGGCCAGGGTGGGTGAGGCTGGGACTGCCAGAAGGTCTCTTTGAGTTATTCACACCTGAGCAGAGATGGGAGTGAGGGGAGCCTTGGGGTCGTCCTAGGTAGGAGCTGCCTGCTGGATGGATATGGCAGGCACCAAGTCTCTGGGGTGAGGAGGCCTGAGCTGGGAGAGGGCAGCGCGGGCCGAGGAGAGGGTGGTGTGAGATGGCCGGGGGATGTGAGACCACCGCCACGCTGGGAGCAGACGGAAACTGGGGGCCGTGCGCAGCACCAAGGCCGCCCGGCTGTCTCCAGCAGCATCACAGGCTTGTCCATTTCATTTCAGACTCGTAAGCAGTACAGCGAGGCCACCAACGAGAGCAACCAGCTGTTCCTGTACTGTGCCTTCCTGGACTTCAGGTACCGCCCTCGGGGTCACAAGGGGGGTGCGGGAGGGGCCAAGGTGCGGGTGGGCATGAGGTGTCCAGGCTCAAGCCCGCCACAGCCATCCAGGGGATGACCCAGGTTGCCCACACATGGCGTCGTCCCACTCGGGACCCGGGCGGGACCTGGGGGAGGTGCTGGGGCGAGGCCTCCTCCCCTGGCCCAGGAGGCTGTGGCTTGCTGTCACATAGGCTGAGACTGGACCTTCCCTGCTGCTCAGCTGTGGCCCTGGCCGTGTTCCATGGGGGACACAGGCCCATGTGTCGATCTTCTACGTGTTCATGGGGGATGTTTACGTTGACATTCCCAGTGTTTAAGACGCTGTGCAGGCAGACAGAGCACCCTGGGCCTCCAGGCCCACCCTGATGGCCCATCAGCCTCCAGCCTCGAGCATCTTTCTGTGCTGCATGTCTTCCTCTAGATCCCTTCTCCACCGGGCTGTTCCCAGGGCAGAGTCCTCCCCGCCTCCCCAATCCAGTCTCTGCCCAGACTCTGCTGCCTCTGCAGCCCCTTTCTCACAGGAGAAGCTTCCTCTGCTCCCTGCACAAAGGGGTCCTGAAGACTGTGAGATGCCTGCCTGGGGGACTGCACTGGGCTGGCCTACTCTCTGTCTCATGCACAGTGAGGAGAGCACAGCCCGTCCCCTGCAGTACCCAGCGACACCACTGATTGTTTGTCCCATGGGGCCTTACTCTGGCTGTACCTTTGGCCGTGCACGTCTCACGCCTCTGCAGCCCGGATGGACGCTCTGTGATTTCTGTAGGTTTGTCTTGGCTCACCTTGGCAGGCTGCAGTGTTTCCCCCTTTATTTGTAAATTATGGAAGTATGGAAGCACATTCTCCTGGAAACAGTTGTCCCAACCTTGCGCACTGCTTAGAGGCATAACTGTGACTAGAGAAGGGAGGTTGGAGTTTGGCAAGATTCAAATTGGCATATTGGGTTTATTGTTTTACAGTTTAAGAACATAGAAGAGTTGAAGAATAATTTAACAAATGCAGGTACCCCTTGCCCCAAGTGTATGATTATTAGTATGTTCATTTATGTTGTTTTGTTTTGTTTTGTTTTTTGGGTTTTTTTTGAGTTGGAGTCTCACTGTCGCCCAGACTGGAGTGCAGTGGCCGCTCCCGGCCACCGCAGCCTCGACCTGCCAGGCTCCGGCGATCCTTCCGCCTCAGCCTTCCGAGTAGCCGGAATTACAGGCGCGCGCTACCACGCCCGGATGATTTTTTTGATT